ACATGAAGCACCCAAATGGTGAGAGCATGTGAGCCTGAGCTGGCAATGATGAATCCCTTTGGCCTTAATGATGCCACTGCAGCAACAATCTGAGGAGGTCACCCACCCACAGCATCCTGACCTGGTCTGATGGCATAGGGGATATTAAGCAACATTTCCAAGTAGGAGAGCAGCCAGGAAGGGGAAGTGGGATGGCAGGATATCCCAGAGAACAAGTCAAATGGGGATCGATTGAAGGGTCTATGGAGGAGCAGGGGCGGGATGGGGGGAATGGGAGAGGAGACGCTGTGTATCATTTTCTGTGTGACACCAGAGAGCAAAATAATCACACAAGGTAGAATGACAGGGACCTAGGAGAAGACATTTTCTGACCATCACAGAGCTCTAAAACTGAGGTGGGCTGCCCTGGGAGGAATAAGCTCTTTGTCATTAGAAAGGTTCAAGAAGATGACCATCTATCAGGGCTCTGGTAAGGGAGCCTCCCTTGTGGGGAGATCAGATAGTCATCTGGTTGTCAGACTAATGCAGGCTGGGAGCTGGACGAGAAGCAGGCCTAACCGGAGACTCTGATTCAGCAGCTCTGGGTGCAATCTGGAGAATCTCTGCCGGGAAACCACTGGACCGGATCCCCGGACTCCACAGTGGAGGGCAGAAGAAGGAGGACATTTCCTTCACATTTACATTTTATCTAAAAGGGGAAAAAAAAAGGAGGAGCAGAAGAAGAAAGCTTACTAATATTTAGTGTCTAGGGAAGCACACAATCTCTGTCGCATCTGAGGTGTCCCATCTGATACTGCGGTGAGCAGGAGCCCTTCAACACTGAAGCTCGCGGCCATGCCTTCCTTCGTTCATCCACACTGGCATGTTTCCATACATTGTAGTTGATTGTGCCCAGTTAGAGAAATGTATGGACTGTGTTATCTTAAATAATAGAATTGCAAATAGCAGAAGCTTTATAATATTTTGAACGAAATGGGGAATAACGATGACAACTTTTTTGTGTCACAGAGAAGTTTGTGGGCATTCTTAGGTCAAAATAATTAAAGCATAGTCAAAGTTGTACATTTTTCTTTTACAAAAAGACATGTGTCCAATTATACTGACCTCCTGTGATGACAAGTAGCTGTTGGTAGTAGGGCTCTTGGCAGAAATTTGTGAGAAACTAAACATACTCGGGGTGCCTGTCTGACTCAGTCAGTAGAGCATGCGACTCTTGATCTCAGGGTCATGGGTTCAAGACCCACGTTGGGCGTGGAGCCTATTAAAAAAAACTAAATGCACTTAGTATGTTTCACTTATATAAAGTTTGGTATGAACCAGGCATTGTTCTCTTTTATATGGGTTAAGTTAATGACTCTTGATGCAGTCTTTGATGGTAGGAACTAACTATACCTGACAGATGAGGAAACTGAGGCACAGAAAGGTGAAGTGACTTCCTTAAGATCACTCAGTTAGTCAGTGAAAGAGTGGGGTTTAAGTGAAAGCTTTTAATCAGTCAACTAATATAACTGACTCCTCTGAAAATATGAAATCAGTTACTTTTTCAAAGGAACTTATGCTATGGAGAATGCATTCTAAAAATAATGGCTGGAAACGTTTGCATCATTAATGTTATTTTTGTTGCCAAAGCTGTAGAAGTTTATAAACTTTAAAAAGGCATAACATCTCAAACTTAGGAAACATAGGAATAGAATTTCAAAACTGATTTAAAAACGAAGGATTCTGTGTATTTTGAACTCCTTTATTAAATATATAAAAATATAGTAAATTCCAATTTGTTGACAAGAACAAATGACAGAGCAGGAAAAAAACTGAAATTGACTAGCAGATTTCTACAAACGCTTTCACATAATTGGTGGATGATTTAAAAAATAAGTTTCATGAGGGGAGCTCCTGGCTGGCTCAGTCAGTAGAGTATGCCACTCTTGATCTTGGGGTTGTGAGTTCGAGCCCCATGTTGGGTGTAGAGATTACTTTAAAAAGAAAAAGTTTCCGTGATTTACTAAGCACGACCAGCAATGCATCATCCCCCCCACCGCGTGCCCCATTTGGATGGATGTATTTTTGAGAAGCATCTTTCCAAGCAGCGGCAGTCAGAAAAGTTACACCACACCAAATCCCTGTATCACAAAGTATGAAACAAAGAAAAAATAATGACTCCTATTCAATTGTATTATTCAGTAAAGAACTGTTATCAGCTGTGGCATCTGTTTAGTGAGAGCAGAATTCTTTATTCCTATTAATAAAAACAATAAAAAAGTTATTTTCAAACATTTTATCTACATCTTATCTTTTAAACTTTTTCTTATTTTGTAGGTTTCTGTAATGATCATAATGTATTGATGTAATAGCGTATGTATATAACATATAAGTGAATCTGTAAAAATAACAGGGTGCATGTTTAAACTAAGGTGGACCCATGGTCAGCAAGCTCAGAGGCCGCTGGATGTGATGTCCTTTAAGGTCCATTCCCTAGTTTGGAATCTTTGATTCTCAGGCAAATGCTGTGCTCTTATTTGGTGAGAGATAAAACCTAAGTGCTAGAGAGACACTTTCTTCCAAGGCAGGCGGCATCTCATTATCCAGCTCAGTGCCCAAATCCCAACCAAAAAAAAAAAAGAAGGGTAAAGACCCACATTTCTGAGTGAATCGGCTTGATTTAAGACCCTGAGCTATCTGTGTTTTGTACAACATCTAATGCACTGTTGATGCTTAATAAATAACAAATTGTGATATTAATAATTAAGAATTGATGTTCTTGCTCCTGTGAATTGATTTGCAGGAGAATTATTCCCCATTCACTCATAAAGAAAAATGAGAGGCAGAGACAGAGCAATAGCTTTTAAGGAAATTTAGTTCCAGCTACTTTGTGTGTGTGTGGTTTTTAGCCCCCATCTCTGGTAAATCTGATGAATAACTGAGCAAGACAGACCCAGAGCCAGTCTACACTGCTTTCCCCTTCTTTTGTGTCCCTACCTTTAGGTAGGAATGTCTAGGTTGTTGAATTGTATGATTCTAAAGTGCTTGACAAACATTAATTAACTGGGGGGTTGTTCTTTGTTTGAAGAGAGTTATGTCTAATTGTGAATATGTCTCCACTTATCTGCTCCTTTCTTTTGAATGTGTTATTATCTAAAACGTGCAGTATCTGATTTGCTTGTACAGTTATTTTAGTAGGTTTTTTGAAATAGGTGGCAACCATGAAAAAAGGGACATATAGTCACCTTAGGGAGAAAAATCGTAATTTTTACAAACTTTAGGTTCATGTTCATATTTGTGCATATTACATGCATCTACACACACGCACGCGTGCGCGCGCGCGCACACACACACACACACACACACCCCTTTCCTGTTACGTGCAACCATCCTCTCTTTCAAGCCGTGGATTTTGGCGATAGTGATGACCCACCCTGAACTGGACTCCATTCCTTCTGAGCTAGGGGAATTGTTGAGATTTGCTTTTTAATAGCAGAAATTGGAAAAACTCTCCAGAAAAGGGAATTAATCCTCCTGCAAAAAGCAAGTGTAATTAGTCACTAGAGGAAACTGGCTCTGCATGCCAACAGAGTCCAGAAGATTGGCTGAGTGCTGTTGACTCCTTACCCTCCATGAACCCATTCTCCCACCCTATGCGGGAAGAGGGTGACGTTCGGACAGCAGCCACAGCGGACACTGGCAGCGTGGGCCTGGAGACCAGATGGGTTACAAAGTACAGGAGACACTGGGCCTGTGTTTTGGCATAAGCAGTGCACCCTGTTAATTAGGAGCATAACTTGGAACAGTGTCTTACCTAATTAGCCAGGGCAGGTATGTGCCTGTGCAGGGGTGGATTACAGATTTTTCTGTTGCTTGGAGAAATGTTCTATAGTAACAAAGGAACAAAATGTAAATTAATCCACAACCGCAGGATTTGTACGTATTACGCCTTTCAAAGCGGGCTTCTCAGTACGTCGCCTATCATACCTTCTAGACGTATCCGTAGCCTGTAAATACTGAAGCTGATGTCACTCTTAGCTTCATCTAGGCGCTACTCATCAGCTTTCAGAGGCAGTGTCATAGGGTGAAGATTACAGACTTTGATGTCACACACACCCCAATTCAAATCCTGCCTCCTCCATTTACTGGCTATGTTACACAAATCCTCACCAGTAAGGGGCGCCTGGTGGTTCAGTCGGTTAAGCGGCCGACTTCGGCTTAGGTCATGATCTCGTGGTCCGTGAGTTCGAGCCCCACGTCGGGCTCTGTGCTGCTGGCTCAGAGCCTGGAACCTGTTTCGGATTCTGTGTCTCCCTCTCTCTGACCCTCCCCGTTCATGCTCTGTCTCTCTCTGTCTCAAAAATAAATAAACGTTAAAATTTTTTTTTTTTAAATAAAAAAAATCCTCACCAGTAAGATAGGAATCACAGTACTTGTTAGGGGCTGAATTGTGTATCCCACCTCCCCCAGCCCCTGCAAATTCATACATTGAGGTACTCACCTCCAGTGTCTCAGAATGTGACTGTGTTTGGAGACAGGGCCTCTAATGAGGTGTTTAAGTTAGGATGAGACTATCAGGGTGGGCCCCCTCATCCAGTCTGACTGATGTCCTTAAAAAAATAGGAAATTGGACCCACAAAAGTGACTTTTAGGGATGCACAGGGGAGGACTGTGTGAAGAGGCACCCAAAGAGTGAACACTTGCAAGTCAAGGAGAACAGCCTAGAAAAGCCCTTTCCGTTATGGCCCTCAGAGGAAACCAGCCCCCTGGCCCTCTGATGTTGGATTTGGAGCCTTCAAACCTGAGAGCAGATATATTGTGTTGTTGAGGCTGCCCAGGCTGTGCTGTTTTGTTATGGCAGCCCTAGAAAAAAACTAACAACAGTGTCTGTGAGAGGGTTATCACGCAACTAAAGGAGATAATTTTTGCATGGAGTCCCTGCCTATGTCCTAACTAAATGACCACTGTCACTGTCATGCAGCTATTCAGTGAATATTGTCTCCCTTCTCTTCCTCACTCAGGAGGCTGTCATTTCCCAGGATTCCTCAGCCATGCTCCGGAGATACCTGTTTGAAATCGGACTTCAGGCAAGCTGGTTCCTTCTCGTGTGGCTAAGACGATGCAGCCAACTCACCCTGTTTATGGAACGGTAAGCCACCTCTTCCCAAGGTGTTCCCGTTCTGTATTTTTCCCGCTGGCTTTTCTCGGTCCTGGCTCAAGGAGACAGCACCTCCTCTGGGATAGGCTGCAGAGTAGGTGAATCCACCTTGTTCTTGCCCTTCACAGTCTATGAGGGAAGGGTTTTCTGCCAGTGGCGGGAATAGCTGTAAAGACAGAGTGAGGATATCTGTTGCTCTGCTGGTGCTGTTCTGTGTTTCTGCCCTTTTCTTCTTTGACGGCAAGTGCTGGGATGACTAATGTCTCCATATTCCGTGCAAAGTCAAAGTAGATGCTACCTCAGGAACAAACACAAACACCTGTGGTGTTGCAGGTCTGGCTTCGGGGCCAAGTAAATTAGCACAGCCCCGTAGTCACAGCATTTGCCCCAATTCCAGACAGAAAGGGTTGATGACTCACAGGCCTGCTGACCTGATGGCCTCACGTCCATGCCGTCATCTGGGAAGGCTGCCTGTGCTGCCCACTGCTCTCCTCCTGGGCCCACAAGGGAAGAGCTGCCGTGGTGACAGCATAGCACATGAAACCTGGGCTGGGGGACAGGGCTCTTTCTAAGATAGTTAGGAGGTAAGAGATTCTTCACGCATTGAATTCAAAAGGGTTCTCTTTCCTCTGTGAGTTAAGTTTGCTGACTGCAGTCATTTGTGTAGTCATTTCTTTGACCGGCATTTAGCACATGCCCACCAAGTGCAAACCACTGACATGCTCTCTGAGGAGCATGATAATTACAGTAACAATAATACTAATAAATGTTTTATTTTGTCATAACCACCGGTCTAGGCCCTTTATGTATTACTGTGGATTTTGTTGGTAACATTTTTGAATGTATGCTACTGTTACAGGAACTATGCTAAGCAGCTCGCCTGCACTTTATTTCTTCAAAAAAAATTTTTTTAATGTTTATTTTTGAGACAGAGACAGAGGGACAGAGTGAGAGAGGAGGAGGGGCAGAGAGAGATGGAGACGTAAATTTCCGAAGCAGGCGCCAGGCTCTGAGCTGTCAGCACAGAGCCCGACGCGGGTCTAGGACTCACGAGCCGTAAGATCATGACCTGAGCCGAAGTCGGACATTTAACCGACTGAGCCACCCAGGTGCCCCGTGCCCTTATTTCTTAAAGTGACTTCCTGAGGAGGGTACTCTGAATCGCATTTCACAGATGGGAAAGCTGAGGCTCAGATAATGCTGAAAGTCACATGGTTGGTAAATGCTAAAGTCAGTTGTAACAGTTACGTTGTTCTCATCCCAAAGTCTATTCTTATTCAGTTGCACATAAAGATAGTTGAGAAGGAAACGTTCTATAATAATTGAGGTCCCTTGTGCCCTGCCCTTGGAAATCATTCTCAGGGGAAACATTCTTCTTATAAACAACGTTAGCTTTATGTGACCAAATCATGTGTCTGGTGTGATTTTTCAGACTCTTGCCCTGGGTGCTGAAATATCTATTGCACACCCTGAAAGCAGCTCTTTATCGACATTTGAGAGCTGTTCCTTTGGGTGAAGGCTGTGCCCAATGGGGGAATGTTGATTCCATTATGTCCCTTGCACCTTCCTGTCAGTGTGTTGATCATGTCATATTCTCTTTGGGAGTGCTCTAGAGTTCAAGTTGCCTTGAAACATGAAAGCAGGGAGAGCCAGAGCCATGGTATGTGTGAAGGTATGAGAGGTGTGCACCCCTCTGGGGATGAGCAGGCAGTGAGGTCCAAACCTGAGAGACTGACTGGTTTGTATGGTTGGAGCTGGGGGACTTCCTGAAGCTCACGGCAGCTCTCTTTCCAAATCCATCTAATCTCCAGCTGGATGATGGCTTAGATAGAGACATTAGGGAGTAGGCAGAGCCAGGCTGCTTTGGGAATGAGATAAAACTCCATTACTCTGGAATTTATACCTAATCATGGTCATATCTGCCTATGTGCAGCCCATTTGAATGGAAATATGTTTCTGTTTAACCCAACTACAAGCCACTGCTACTAATAACTAATATTAATATCATGACCATTTACAAAACACTTTTATAGGTTATCATCTCATTTGGTTATTCTGGCAAATTCTGGGGTGCATATTTTCTTTCCCTTTCCCTCTGGGGGAACTGAGACTCACATAGTGAAGTGATTTGCCCAGGGTCACCGAGCCGGGCAGTGGGACATGTGTGGAGAAGCATACCTCATCTTTGGGCAAGGCCACGGATCCTTTGGCCATATCAACCCGCCTCCTTGACCACACACTCATTACCCTTATGGAACCTGAGAATGCTGGGCTCCCAAATCACGGACCAGTTTCAATAAACAAAAAGGCTGACCTAAGTCTTTTTACTCCTTATGGGTACTCACCGTCTGTCTGAAGCCCAAATGATGGAAACACTCTCACCGGGGATGACTTTCAAGGATGTGCGAGTGGTTGAGAGCCAGCTGTGCTGCTGAATGCATTACCAGACAATGTCTGGGCTCTGGCCAGATTCCTCAGATTCCTTTTTACTGTTTGTGCATGCTGGTGGGTTTGGTGTGATTTGCTTTCAGTGGCCAGGCTTGTGGCTTTCTTTTTTTTTTTTTTTTTTTCTCCTCAGGGGATGGCCCTGACCAACAGGTATGGGAGTGCCTCTGGTCGGCCTGGATGACTGTGAGGTGTAGCTTACACCCTGGAGCTCCCTGGTGGCATCAGGTGAAGTCAGCTGTCTCTGGGTCTTTACCTGAGATCGCACCTTTGCCTGACTCGCTGCTAGCCAGTCCGGCTTCCCTCACCCCCTATCAGTGTTCTCTTAGAGACCTTTCTTGCCAGAACGTTTGCACATGAGTCCTTGTCTCCTACTTTGCTTCGAGCCTGGACTAAACATAAAGAAGTATGTTCCAGAATCTTCCTCTTGCCCTAGTTTTGTGTTTATTTCCGTGTGTTTGACTAAGGAGTTTCAAAGTTCATCACTTGTCTGACCTTCAGTTATTTAAAATCGCTGAGGCTCTTTTTGAATCTCTAAAATGAAGGATAATAACACCTCTCCAGGCCATGGTAGGAATTTAAATTTTTTTTTTTAATTTTTAAATGTTTATTTATTCTTGAGAGAGAGAGAGAGAGAGAGATCATGAGCAGAGAAGGAACAGCGAGAGAACGAGACAGAATCTGAAGCAGGCTCCAGGCTCCAAGCTGTCAGCACAGAGCCAGATACGGGGCTCGAACTCACGAACTGTGAGATCATGACCCCGGCTGAAGTCGGACTCTCAACCAGCTGAGCCACCAAGGCGCCCCTAATTTTGTTTTTTTAATGTTTATTTTTGAGAGAAAGAGAGAGACAGAGATAAGGTAGGTAAGGCACTTGGCATAATGTTCGTAGGTGGTGTTTGGGTATTATTTCCTATTCTAATATTTTGTGTGGAAATCTCTCTAGTGGCATTCTGGGAAACATGGCCAGGAGAATGAGTCACAGTCACAGAATAATTCTACCATAGCACAGCCTGGTATCTCTGTGAATTTCATAGACTCATAGACAAAAGCCGTTTATGGCATGTAATCCGGTGTCTCAGGGCTTAGCAGACACCGATTGCAAATGCAGTCACATCAGATTAAGCCCCAAATGTCAATAGCAGTGAGCAGACCCCCATTTGACTGGCTTCTTATTGACTCAAGGAAGCCCAACCTTTATAGACTGTGCCCCTCACCCCCCGCCCCGCCTCCACGGGGTGATCACGTCCGTCCACAATTCTTCCTCAGCACTTTTTGCGGAGCCTCGACTTGGAGCTTTCTGTCCCATCCTTTCCAGAGTTGCTGATCCCAGCCCTGCCACTCTGTTCTTGTTGGCACGGCTGCTGCTAGTGAAGATGGAGAGAGCCCCCCAAGGAATGTCATTTTCAAAATGGTGCAGAACTGCTTCCCGCAAGGCCTGACATCCTCCTCATTGTGGTTTCTGTGAGTGCAAGAGGATCTTTCTTTTGTATTTTTTTGCGCTCTGCTGGGATTGGCCGTGCGATGCTGTGATTGCTGATGGAGTGCTTACAGCTGCAGAGGGCAGTGCCCGGGCTCTGCAGTGGCCAGGCTCAATGATATAATATGCATAGGTGCTGGTAAAGCTGAAACCCACTGCCCTGAGTTGGATAAATCAGGAGTATCGTTACTGCGCCTCAAGGTCAGGGAACCTGATGGCTGCCACAGCTGATGGGCACCAAAAGAAGAGAACTCTTTCCTGTGTGTGTGTGTGTGTGTGTGTGTGTGTGTGTGTGTGTAGAGGGCGGAGGAGGTGGAGTGAGATGCGTGGGTGGGGAACAAGAAAAAGTGACAAAGGATCTATAATAATTTCACCAGCATTTTAATATATTTTCTTAAAAATTATTTTTTTAAATGTTTATTTTTGAGAGAGACAGAGTGTGAGCGGGGCAGGGACAGAGAGAGACGGAGACACAAAATCCTAAGCAGGCTCCAGGCTCTGGGCTGTCAGCACAGAGCCCGACGGGGCGGGGTGTGGGGGTGTGGGGCTTGAACTAATGAATCACGAGATCACGACCTAAGCAAAGTCAGATGCTTAACCGACTGAGTCACCCAAGCGCCCCTTAATATATTTTCAATTAACACCCAGATCGCTTTTCTCCTCAGGACAAATCTCAGGTGGCAATAAGTTCTGGAATCTGCCATCGTGTATAACCATAATCACTTCACCCCTCCAAATTCCAGCCCTGTTGCTGGGTCTTACAGCACAGATAAAGCAATTACTGTATAAAACCACAAGTGACTGTGGCAGCTTCAGCCTGTAAGGAAGTAGCATCATTTCTCTCTGGAGTAAATAGCCTTTTATTTAGCAAAGATGAGGCCCCCGGGGCGTGATTTGGGAGGAGGCGTCGAAACAAAGAGATAGCTAAGCCAATCAGCATAAAAAATAAATACGGGTTTTGTGGGGGGAGGGGGTGGGAGAGCTGAGAAAGGAGAAGAAGGAACCAGGAGAAATCAGGCATTAACCCAGAGTGCACTGCGAGACCACAACCTGTTAGACCATCACCAGTGGCCAGATGATGTTCAAAGACAAGATTAAGGTTGTTCTGTGTTTGTGTTTTGTTTTACTGCTTGCTCGGTGCTGCTAGGTAATGGCCTGAGGTTAAGCCTGTGTCCCGTGGTGTTTCTGGGAAATCAAGAGAAAGAGTTTGCTCCAGATCGGAGAACTAGAATGCAGAGCGAATAGAGCAGCCTGGAGAGACTGAGAACTTCACTGGGGAAGGGAGAAATCAGAGGGGGAGCCTTTGGAGACTCACGGAGATATTTCGGAAGAGACGGGGTTTCCATTAACCACGAGATGGGCAGAGTGTCAGCCAATTTTATGTAATTCTCAGGAACAAGGTGACCTCAAGTGATATCTGGATAGCAACCTAAGTACCCCCTCTTGCCGTCTTTTATCCACCTCAGCCCATCAAACTTGGCTGTGTGTGTCTGAGTCCCACTGGTTTCTAGGTTTTAGCCCTCTCCAGAAGCCCCGCAGGTCCCAAATAAGTCACTGGATACAAATGGCTAAGTGGGAGGAAAATGTGTGTAATTGATGTGGTGAACAAGCAAAACTCGTAGGGGGTAATCAGAGCCAATTTATTCCCCCCTCCCCCAAACAGTGCATAAAATTTTTAGGTTGTCAAACATAATCTATATTCAGAAAGTCCAGCCTATAAAATATCAACACTCCAACCTTCACCTGAGGTCCAGTCTTCTCCCTCCCCCAGTTACACTACTGGTTGGTGGAGAGAAGGGGGGCAGAGACTGGGCAGGAGCTAGAATGTGTTTCTGCCCTTCTAGGGCCAGAATATAGTAACAGAAGAAGGAGAGGTGAAGGAAAGGTGGGGAGCAGAAAAGGTCTCACGTGACTCAAACTCTCTCATGGGTTTGTGGTCTGTGGGCCTGACAGCTTTGATTCTTTGGAGAGTCCCGTCCCTGGAGGCCTTTCATCTGAAGCTCCATTGACCCAAGTAAAGGCATTTCCATTATGGCCAATTGGTCACTCCTTCTGTATCCTCCAGATATCTGCCAATGTCTTTAGCTTCTCTCCACTAGGACCTGTGTCCCCCTTTGGGAACTCTTCTGGGACAGGACCAAAGCTGTCCTGTCAAATTCACTCTTGATACAACCCACTTTTGCCCGTGGGAAACGTTTGCCCCTTTTCCCCTTGACAAACTCTGAGAGTGTAGGCTGCCTCGTGCAGCCACTTATTTTTTGACTTCTTTGTCAGCTTGTTTTACGTTTGAAGTGAGAGACAGCCGCTCATGTGTTCTCCGACTGTAGTCCTGTTAAAATCCTGTCAGCAGGCTGCAGATGAGCAACACATATTCCCCACCCTTCTAAAATGGCAGAACACAAAGGCTGCATCACCCTGTGCTCTTCAAAGGAAACCTCTTTCCCCAAGTCTGCCAAGCCCAGCTGTTTTTATGCCCTTTATATAAATGAAGAGTCTAAGAGATGTCTCACCCAATCTTGTCACCAACTCTGAAGTTTCTGCATGGAAATAGAAAACAATTTGGACTGTAGCATGTCGACTATGTGCCGTAGCTGATATGTTCCCTCTGATGCACCTTGGCTTCTCTTTGTAATCGGACGTTCAGTTGGGCCATCAGACATGGTGGTTTATATCTGGATTCCAATAGTATGATGGTTCAAGTTTTGTCTTTTTCCCTCGGGAGATTCTTCAATCCCAGTGACAATGAGGGGATACAGATGGTTAAAGGGAGGAAGGCTTTTTCCTCAGTCCATTTCCCGGAAGCATTTGTGGCTAAGTACCTGTCTCACTAAGCCTCCTTCTTACAATTAAGAAATGGCTGAGGAGCCTCGGTGGCTCTGTCACTTAAGTGTCCGACTCTTGATTTCGAATCAGGTCATGATCTCACGGTTCAGGAGTTTGAGCCTACATCTGACTTCATGCTGACAGTGTGGAGCCTCCTTGGGATTCTCTCTCTGCCCCTCCCCTGCGCACTCTTTCTCTCTCAAAATAAATCAATGAACTTAAAAAAGACGGGCGCCTGGTGGCCCAGTTGGTTAAGCGACCGACTTCGGCTTAGGTCATGATCTCACTACTTGTGAGTTTAATCCTCGCAATCAAGCTCTGTGCTGACAGCTCAGAGCCAGGAGCCTGCTTTGGATTTCGTCTCCGTCTCTCTGCCCCTTCCCTGCTCGCACTCCGTCTGTCTGTCTCTCTCTCAAATATAAAATAAAAAACAAACCCAAACCAAAACCAAAACCAAACAGACTAAAAGAAATGGCTAATGGTTCTCCTTTTTGACTCTTAGTAGAAGGGCAGCACATACTGAAGTTAAGGTACATTAGGATGTTTGTACCTGATTGGGTTTTAAAATGTTTTTCTAAGTATAGTATCATGAACCTTCCATGTTACTCTCCAGCAGAGTACAGAGAAATACTGTAAAGCTTTGTAAGCATAGAGCAAGGCAGAGAGTGGTTTTTACTTCTCTCTTGCTCTTCTCTTCCGCCTACTTGGAAAATACACCTTGATTTTCACTTGCGCTGAGCTTTTCTTATACAAAGTAGTGGCCTTCATTTTGAAACTTGGAATTCGTTGTGATGCTTGGCTTAGAAGCTGTGTTCTGAAATCGGTGAAAGTTACATCAAATTACAGATTTAGCTTGTGCAGTGTGGTTGCCGGAGAACCCGGAGAAGTACACTCAGAAATAGAGCCTACGCTTTGGACCATAAGTGTCCCCTGAGATGTAGCTCTCCTAAATTGGCCTACTAGGTGGAGATTAATGAGGAAGGTGGTGTGTGTATGTGTGTGTGAATGTACCGTTTACTCACCCAATCAGTTTCAGTGAGGTAATACAAAGAAGGCAGAAGCAGCAGCTACGAGGGAGAAAAGTGGACAATGGGCACAGATAAACTCCTGCTCCATTCAGCCGTGCAAATTAGAACATAATACTAATTTTCTTAAAAAGGTCAGGCAGACAGTTTAGCAAAACAAACACCCGACAAAATCCTCCCTGCCATCTGCTTGGAGTCTGAGGCCTTGTTTAGTTTTACCTCCCCTTGTTATTCGCCACATGACCCTAGGTTATTTACAACCTCTCTGAGCATCCCGTTTCTGCCTCTCTGAAATGGAGGCAAACCTATCTGTCATGCCGAAGTCTCATGTAAAGGGTTCACTGTTCATGAAGTTCCCCGCGCCCTGCACAGGGGGGCCTTGCCGTAAGGCATTATGGTCGAGTGACAGTTGACGTGATGGAGATCTGGAGATCTGGCGCTGGGACTTCAGGGTCTTGAATCAGGTTTTCAATTTCAATTTGAACATGTGCCCACTGGCTGTATTGACACAGCAGAAAGCCAAGGGCAGATTTGACAATGATTTGTTTAATTTGATTGATGTGATCGCAGAAGTGGGCCATTCGGTCTGCAGAATAGCTAGGCTGTAATGATCTGATATTGGCTGTCTACATTCATCAACCTAAGTGGGTAATTAGCAAAACACCATTTGACTTTGTGATGTATAGACAGTAATTGTGACTGTTTCCCAATTAAAAATCTCATCCAAAGTCGTGACTTTGGTTGTCACATCTGTGCAGATGATTTCCACATTTGTTCCTACCTCCATCTCTGAATTCTTTCTTAAAAGACTTTTATTTTTCCAGCACAGCCATCAGGCATCTTCTACACACACATTTTCCCTCATACATCTGCCCTTCTTCTATAATCCTCATTTCAGCAGTTCCCACCATGGTCGAGGTGAACTCTGATGTCTCCCTACCCTACACCTTCCACGTTCTATTAGTGCCAGATTCTATCAGTTCTATGAAGTATCTTCACATCCTCCCCCTCCTCTGTAATTCTACAGCCCTGCTATCCTACGACTTCATCAAGGCCCCACCTATGGTGACAAACCCTGTAATTGGCCTTCCTTTTCCTCATTCCAATCTATCCTATACATTAATGCTCTCATCTTC